GATGAGAGGAGCAAAGAGTAAAGAATAGTGGGAGGAAAACGTGCATTGTACAAACAGTTAATATCAATGTAAATTCAGAGATAATATTATTACTGCCAGATATATAGTAACAGGGTAAAATAAACAATAGATTCAAAAAAGGTTTACATACATTGCCAACACCCTCCCTAGAACTGCAGAATATGTTAATACACAAACAACAAACTGTGATAATATTTTTTTCTTATATATGGATTTTCAAAAAAAAAAAATTTAACCTTTGATTATGTAGTTTACATATTACTTTTCTTTTAAAGGAATCTCATTTTAGACCAAAACAAAAATTCTACAAATGTTAAGTGTATAAAAAATAGTCACGATTGAAACTCTATTTGACATATATTAAAAATCACCAAGATGTAACATAGAAAATCATAATTTCATAGGAAGTTAGATGACCTGTTTAATAGCTTTCCAGAAAATGTATATATTTCCAGTTCTTCTTATAGCAAGACAGAAGATTAGCTTAAACCGAGTGTAACGGACCGTTTTGCACAAAAGGGGTAAAAACCGCTTAGACGATAATCCCCTTTCAGAGACAGGCACAGCTACTGTAGAATCACCAAAACTCACGAATTGAATACAAGTGAATGCACCAAACACCCGAACTGCATACAAGGGAATGCTCCAAACACCCGAACTGCATACAAGGGAATGCTCCAAACACCCGAACTGCATACAAGGGAATGCTCCAAACACCCGAACTGGAACCTCACGAATAGCTGCTAGCAGACGAACAGGAAAAGCACCCAAGCGGCTTACATTCCTGGCAATCAGTCTCTATCAGCATACAGTAAATCCCCCCAAAGACGAGACAGAGCTCCGTGTTGAGGGTCAATCTGTTTAATGAGGGCTACCTGCCCAGTATTTATGCAGGTCTCCCACCTGGTGGACACTCCCCTAGGGGACCAGATGGAAGACTGTAACAAAAGACAGACATGTACCAATTACAGACATACAGAAGTAAAACATCCCCACAATGCATCCTGGCTTCCTCCCCTCTGCCCTGGGGAAGTAATTCAATTATCTCCCAGGACAAAGGCAAAACTCCATTACACACGTGGGGACACAAAACCAGTATTATACTTTAAAATACATAAAGTAACATTTATTACATAAAACACAGACATGTAACATATCCCCAGATAGCTCAGGTCTGAGCGCACATTATTAAGCGAATGGCGCTCAGACCACACGTAATACAGTTTAATCGCCATGGAGCCAAAGTCTTTACAGTCAGTTTCATACGAATGGGCTCCATGGGATTCCTATCTGGGGTATAACACATTCAAACAAAACTACCGAACACCGGGCCGTTCGTGCACTTCCACCGAAAAAGAAGGGAGGTCGGCGGCTTCAGCGGTGTTCGTGCAAAACTGTGTCCAATTTTAGTTCCATGAAAATAGGGGGGGGGGGGAACACCGCTGTGCATTCGTATGTTTAAAATGGCCGAGACCTCGTGTTCGGGATACGAATGGCGGCCACCCAGCATTCGTCGGTTAAGCTGTGGTTAACCGCAGCTTCAGGGAGGTTAATTGCCGGCACACTCCAGCTCCCAGGTGGTCTATTCATTCGTGCGGTTGTTCGGTAGATTTAATCTACCGAACAACCGGCAGAAAAACACGAATACAGCTTTTCTGCAGGTGAAATAAAGTCTTTTAAAAGAGGGCCATAGTCCAGAGGCAGCAGGCGAGCAACCAGGCTTCTCCAATGCAATGTGGCGAGATTGGTCTCGTCACATCTCTCCCCTTTTCCAAACAGACTAACAGGGTATCTGACCTCCTGCTGGTCAGTGCCCTTGTTAGTCCAGCAGCCCACCCACAAAACACAATCAACAGCACAGCCCACCCACAATAAATAGTTACTGCACCTGGGTAGAGGAGAAGCTTGTCCACATCCAGGTGCCTCACCACGGCTGTGCTGGGTACGGGTACGCTGACTTGGTGGGGTGCTGCGTGGGCAGAGACCAGCGTCACTCTGCCCTGTTGCCAGCGCTACTGGGAGGGTAGCCTGGTTGAAGCCTGGTTGTTGGAGGGGGAGACCGACTGTCTCCCCTTTAGATACACAGTCCTGCTGCTGGAGACCACTGTCTCCCCTTTGGTTACACAGCTCTGCTGCTGGAGACCGACTGTCTCCCCTTTGGTTACACAGCTCTGCTGCTGGAGGGGGAGACCAACTGTCTCCCCTTTGGATACTCTAAGCTGTCGCTGGGGAGAGGGGGTAACAGGCTCCTCTCCCGATAGAACACTCTGCCGCTGGGGAAAGGAGACTGAGCTCTCTATCCCCTGCCCATTAATGATCCGCCGCTGGGGAGAGGTGGTAGCAAGCTCCTCTCCCATACATACTTTCATCCTCTGTGGAGGGAGACCGACTGTCTCCGCTCCCAATACAGTGTCCTGCTGCTGGGAAAGGGAGACTGAGCTCTCTATTCCCTGCTGGATACTCTGCCGCTGGGGACTGGAGACTGGGCTCCCAATTCCCAACAAATAACACTGCCGTTGGGGAATGGAGACTGGGCTCCCAATTCCGACACATCACACTGCCGCTGGGGGATGGAGACTGGGTTCCCAATTCCCGGCACATCACACTGCCGCTGGGGAATGGAGACTGGGCTCCCAATTCCCAGAAAATCACGCTGCCGCTGGGGAGGGAGGACACTGCTCTCCTCTCCCTGGACTTCACACTGCCTTCCCGGCATATCACTTGTCTGCTGGGGGGCAGGAACAACTACCTCTGCCCCCTGTAACTCAGCCTGTCGCTGGGGAGTGAGGACACTGCTCTCCTCTCCCTGTACTTCACACTGCCTTCCCGGCATATCACTCTGCTGCTGGGGGGCAGGAAGAACTACCTCTGCCCCCTGTAACTCAGCCTGCCGCTGGGGAGGGAGGACGCTGCTCTCCTCTCCCTGCACTTTACACTGCCGCTGGGGAATGGAGACTGGGCTCCCAATTCCCGGCATATCACACTGCCACTGGGGAATGGAGACTGGGTTCCCAATTCCCTGCTGCATCTGCCGCTGGAGTTTCTCCCAACGTGCCAACTGACCTTCTCTTTCTGCCCCTTATTGCAGCCTGTCGAACACTAGGTTCCTCATGAACCGCACCGATCTCTCCAGTGGGTTGGATCCGAAGAAGCTTAGGTGAAACCACACCATCCGGTCATACTCTCTCATAGAGTAGCTGTACTCCACTGCTGGTTCCATCCTGGTGCTGTCAGGGTCGCTGTACTAGGACATGTGTTGCCCTTAACTTGTAAATCCAAAGAAATGGTGTCTCCTGTAGCTGTCCTTCTGGCTGTAGGAATGATCCCGCCGCTGCCACCAATTGTAACGGACCATTTTGCACAAAAGGGAAAAAAAACGCTTAGACGATAATCCCCTTTCAGAGACAGGCACAGCTACTGTAGAATCACCCAAAACTCACGAATTGAATACAAGTGAATGCACCAAACACCCGAACTGGAACCTCACGAATAGCTGCTAGCAGACGAACAGGAAAAGCACTCAAGCGGCTTACACTCCTGGCAATCAGTCTCTATCAGCATACAGTAAATCCCCCCAAAGACGAGACAGAGCTCCGTGTTGAGGGTCAAGCAGTGGTCTGTTTAACGAGGGCTACCTGCCCAGTATTTATGCAGGTCTCCCACCTGGTGGACACTCCCCTAGGGGACCAGATGGAAGACTGTAACAAAAGACAGACATGTACCAATTACAGACACACAGAAGTAAAACATCCTCACAATGCATCCTGGCTTCCTCCCCTCTGCCCTAGAGAAGTAATTCAATTATCTCCCAGGACAAAGGCAAAACTCCATTACACACGTGGGGACACAAAACCAGTATTATACTTTAAAATACATAAAGTAACATTTATTACATAAAACACAGACATGTAACATATCCCCAGATAGCTCAAGTCTGAGCGCACATTATTAAGCGAATGGCGCTCAGACCACACAAATACAGTTTAATCGCCATGGAGCCAAAGTCTTTACAGTCAGTTTCATACGAATGGGCTCCATGGGATTCCTATCTGGGGTATAACACATTCAAACAAAACTACCAAACACCGGGCCGTTCGTGCACTTCCACCGAACAAGAAGGGAGGTCGGCGGCTTCAGCGGTGTTCGCGCAAAACGGTGTCCGATTTTAGTTCCATGAAAATAGGGGCGAACACCGCTGTGCATTCGTATGTTTAAAATGGCCGCGACCTCGTGTTCGGGATACGAATGGCGGCCACCCAGCATTCGTCAATTAAGCTGTGGTTAACCGCAGCTTCAGGGAGGTTAATTGCCGGCACACTCCAGCTCCCAGGTGGTCTATTCATTCGTGCGGTTGTTCGGTAGATTGAATCTACCGAACAACCGGCAGAAAAGCACGAATACAGCTTTTCTGCAGGCGAAATAAAGTCTTTTAAAAGGGGGCCATAGTCCAGAGGCAGCAGGCGAGCAACCAGGCTTCTCCAATGCAATGTGGCGAGATTGGTCTCGTCACACCGAGTATTGTAAGTATTAGTGCATAAGGATTAAGTTGTAGGACCTGTTTCAAAATGTGTGACATAAAATTCCTTATTTCAGCACACGAATTACTTATAAACTATATTCTGTTAATTCACTAGGAACCACTAGGGGTGTGCATTCCGAAATTTGGTTCAGCATTCCGAAATTCGGGACTTAGGTACTTCTGAATTTCTGAACTTCGGGACTTCGGCACTTCAGTTCGGTTTGGCACTTTGGAACTTCAACTCTTCGGAACTTCGGTACTTTTGCACTTCGGAACTTCACCACTTCGGCACTTTGGAAATTCAGCACTTTGGCAATTCAGCTATTCGGACATTCGGAAGTATTCAAATGTCCAAATTGCACGAAATTCGTCCGAATTGGCATTCGGAACTAAACGAATTGCACATATCTAGGAACCACTTATATGTAGAGTATTTTATGATTGTTCGATGATTTTCAATAAAATCATAAGCTCAATTTTAAATTTATTGGATATACTACATGCAGAAGCAAAGTTAAAGGTACTTCATATTAATTCTACATTAAAGCCTGATTCAAAATATTAAGTGACCTACAAATGTTCCTTTGTTAATTAACACATGTATTTCCCCTAATTGCCTCAAACATGTCTTGAATCATAAGCAAATATGATAACATTTGTATTAATGGTAAACCTGAAATGCAATAAAAAAATATTTTAATTTGAACATACTCTTCTTTATGATCTAATTTCAGCAAAATAAAGAGACTTCTAGCTTGCTTGTCATGTCAGCTTCCCTGATTTAGCTCATATGTCATAAGGTTTTATGTTAATTTAAATCAGTCCTGAAATCGAACTGCTTTCCTTCTTGCCCTTTTTTATTATTTATCAAATCTAGCCAATGACTTGTTTGTTTTGTTGATCAAAATCTTCAAACAGGCTTAGAGAGTTTATTCACAAAACAGAAGTTTGCGGTGAATTGACTTTCTAAAGTCTCAAACTCAGCAATATTTATTAACCCTTTTCATCGACAAGTAATTTTTTGTTTTAAAACTGATTAAAACATGTGTTTTGTGTATCGATTGCTAAAATAAATATATGTACAATTTTAATTTTCCCCTTATTTCTAAATGCGTTATGAAAATACTGGGTTGATAAAACATTTTTTGAGACTACAAAATATTTCTTATATGACGACATTATGATCTGAGTTACTAGTTAATAAATATAAAATGTTTGCAATATTTTTTTAATATATAGTAAGGCTATATAAGGCAAACCTATCAAATAATGTCTACATATAGTATGTAAAGAACTGAAACTTTGAAACCTGATGGTAAAACTGATTCATGGGAACCAAAAATTCTAGACTCTAGAGCCTACCGTAATTAACAAAGTCTATAATAAATAAGTTCAATAGGATAGGATAGAATACACTTAAAACAGATGACATGGTGGTAGAACTTCAAGAACTGATCTATGACCCATATTCGTAAACTGTTGCGCAAGACACCAAAGGTTTTTATGTTCAAATCCAGGCCCATGTTTTACAAATCCAGGCCTATGTTTTACAAAAAAGGAAAACGTATACCGCGCCTAATTTATATATGTGAAATATACATACATATATCTTGAATATTCCAAACGGATCGTAACCTCAAAGGAAACAGATTAAGAAACAAATGATAGTGCAATACAGTAAATATATTCTTTAGAGCAGATAGTATAAGGCTAAGTTCAATCCACTCACATATGGATGAGCTATAACAGAGCTATGCTGTAAGAACGCCTGGACGGTATAATCCCCGTCTTTGGATTTGTAGAAGTTTCCACGAATATTTCCACAATGCAGTGAGCGTAGTAAATATGAAAGGAAAAAATAGCAGCAATATGGTGAAGTAAGTACTAGTGGTGTGACCAATATTAAATAGTATTGTACTTACAATTTCTAGAGCATATATCCTGCTCTAGTATAAACGGCATGGGTGGTATAATCCCCACCAAGGATATACAGGATCCAGGAAGTAAAATAAAGGATTGGAGTGGATATAAAAGTAACTTTAAAAAGTATACTTTAATATAAACAAGCTAAATAGAAATAAAATATTATAAAACATAAAATGTAGTCCCACTTAACGTGTTTCGCCAGATTGGCTTCTTCAGAAGTGTGGTATCATGTCTGATAAGTCCGTTTATATATCCTCCTTAATGTAGAAATAATGTCCTGGTGTGCTTACTTCCTGGTTCCGGCTGTTTGCTGACACGCACGCGTCATACCGGAAGTGACGCGGCACCCGCGTCACACCGGAAGTGACGTAGTGCTCGCGTCTGACCGGAAATGATCGCGGCGTCTGTAGTGCACATTGATGTATGTCTAAATGTCCAGAGGTGTATGTAACACCAATAAGTAATATAGATAAAGATTTCAGGCATCACTCGTCCCAGCCTCCAATACTAGAGGGTGTGGGCATGTTCCAGTGGGAAAGTGATGCGGCGGCCATCTTTGTTGAGGGCAAACATCCATTTAGAAGACAACTAATAGGGTAGTTTGTGTACAACCATATAAATGTAAAAAAGAAAGAAATATACATATACCTACAATATAAATAATGATGTATGCTTTAAAAAGGTTAATACCTATAAAAAATAAAAATAAAAATAAGAAATGGCACAGTATAAATATTATAAATAATTTAACATAATGATCAAAGTTAAAAACAACCATAAGAGCATAAAACATAATAAGAGTAGATGAGGGGCATGCTATAAGGATGGACAAAGAGTGTTGGGGAAAAAAAAATAAAAAATAAAAAAAAATATATATATTTTTATAAAAAATTGTATAAGTCGAAATCAACATTCAGCCCCTTGGGGTGTAGGGTATCAAGTTGATATACCCACTGCATCTCAGTTTGTCCAATCTTTCTTATAGCATCTCCCCCTCTCCAATGATTTTTAACTATTTTAATTCCCATAAACGTGAGGTGCTTGGGATCATTATTGTGCATGCAAAAGTGCGCAGGTACTGAGTGATTCTGTAGACCCTTTTCTATATTTCTACAGTGTTCTGCGATTCTGGTTTTTAGTGGCCTGATCGTTCTCCCTACATATTGGAGACCACATGAACATTCCAATAAATAGATCACATTTTTGCTGTTGCATGTAATGACCTCTTTTATATTATATGTTTTATTGGTATTATTTGATTTAAAATCAGTGATCATTCTTTTAGTGGTTTTTGTCTTTTTACACGCCATACAGCAATTACATTTGTAGAAACCCTTTTTGTCCATAAAATCATTAATTCTATTAGGGCTATTTCTTGTAAAAATTTTTGTTAGATGCATTTTAAGGTTAGGGGCTCCTCTAAAGATTACTTTTGGTTTATCAGGGATAATTTTTCCTAAAATTTCATCTTCCTTTAATAGATGCCAATGTTTTATTAAAATTTTTTTCAATTGTCTGTTTTTATTGTTATAGTCTAGTACAATAGGTAGAGTAAAGTCACGATTCTTCTGATTCTCTGAACCTTTGGTTTTATATATAAGTTGATTTCTATTAATTGTGACTGTTTGATTAATGGTTGAATCGATATGGTTAGCATCATAACCTTTTTGTATGAAACTTTCTCTCAGTATGTTAGCTTGCTTTAGAAACACAGCTTCATCAGAGCAGTTTCTTCTGAGACGCATCATCTGACTTTTAGGTATACTGTCCAACCATATCTTGTTGTGACAACTTTTAGTACTTATATAGTTGTTTACATTTACTTCTTTGAAATGTGTTTTAGTTTGTATTGTGTTATTTTCAATATATATATTAAGATCTAGATACGTAACCATAGTACTACTAAAATCCGCTGTTAAAATTATACCTTCTTCATTGTTGTTTAAAAAAGAAATAAAATCTTTAGCTGAACTAATAGGTCCTTTCCAAATAAATAGGAGGTCGTCTATATAGCGAGAATAAAAAAACAGGTTCTGCACCCAGCCATGTCCCCTCCACACAGACCGATCCTCCCATTCAGCCATATAGAGGTTGGCATAGCTGGGTGCGAACCTAGTACCCATAGCTGTCCCAGTTTACTGTAAATAAAAACTATCTTTGAACCAAAAATAATTGTGTTTTAAAATTAGATCTATGCCGTCAATAATAAAATCTTTCTGTTCTTGGAGCATAGAATCGTCTTGTTCTAAAATGGATCTGATAGCCTGACATCCTTTATCATGTTTGATTATCGTATACAGCGATTGTACGTCACATGTGATCAATATATAGTCCTTTTCCCAACTGATAGTTTGTAATTTCTTCAGAAGGTCTATTGTATCTTTTAAATAGGATCTTGTTCGTTTGACGTATGGTTGTAGCATTATATCGATGTATTCTGATAAGTTTGAAAGGAGGGATCCTATTCCTGACACAATAGGGCGTCCTGGAGGGTCATTTAAATTTTTATGAATCTTAGGGAGGAAGTATATTACTGGGATCCTGGGGTGTAGTATTTTGATGTAATTAAACTCTTTCTCACCCAGAATCCCAATGTTTTTTCCTCTTTCCAAAAAACCATAGAATTCAGATTTTATATCCACTATTGGATCATGGTCTAATTTAATATAGGTCATCTCATCATTAAGCTGTCTATACGCTTCTGTTTCGTATTTCTCTTTGGATTGGATGACGAGGCCTCCGCCCTTATCAGCTGGTTTAATTACTATTGAAGTGTCATTGTACAGCTCTTTTAGTATTTTCATTTCTTTCCTATTCATATTTTGTGTACCTCTTATATTTTTAGTGTCTAAATATTTTAAATCCTTACTTACTTTTTTTTCAAATATATCTAGAGCGCTGGATTTGAAGTGTGCAGGATAGAAGGTGGATTTATTCTTTAGTTCACTGCTTTTATATTTCGTTGTATTTATATGATCAGAGTTATTTTTATTGATGAAAAAGCGTTTTAGAGTCGCATTTCTGACAAATTTATTCACATCTATATAAGCT